TGTCACGGCAGAGAGCCGTGACAGGATCGAGAGGTGAGCGAACGCCGGTATGTGTTCGCTCACCTCCCGATCTACTGAGCCGACCTGTGACAGTGTCATTGTCACAGGTCGGCTAGAACTATGAGGTGAGTGAAACGCACTCACCTCATAGTTCTCCTTTAAACATTTTGTTTAAAAGTTTTATTTACACTTATTATTTTATTACTTTTTTTTTATTCCTCACAGATAAAAAAAACCGTGGCTATTACAGCTTTTTGGCACTTCTAGTGGTGCCATTGGTTTTCCTGGGATGGTATCTCCTTGACATGAAGAAAAGACGAAGGAAAGGTATTTATTTTCTCCAAAATTTTAATCTAAATAAACCAGAACAAAAAATGTAGGTTTACCTACCTAAGAGGACTTCTACTATGAAAACTTTCAAGAAAAAAGTCAGGCAGGGGGCAAAGCACTAGTCCCCAGTATAGCCTGTAGGCTGCCTGGAGTAGATCTTTTCCCCAGCACAGACCTACCACTCTGTCTCTGTGTGGAGGTGCTTTCAAAAGTGGGCTAATGGCGATGGGACCCTGAGGTTTGATTGAAAGATAACGGTATTGTCTTTGTTGTCCAGCAGTATGACTGTGGCCTGATGTTGGGGCATATGAATGTGAATATTACCGTATTTTTCCGTGTATAAGACGCTACTTTCTCATAAAAATGTTTACCTAAAAATAGAGGGGCGTCTTATACACGGGGGGCGCGGTTTCGAAACTGCTGAAAGTGCTGATACCACTGCAAACTAGCCTCAGGAGTGAAACTTCTGATTGCAGAGACAAGATAACAGTTCTCCTCCAATCATAAATCTTTTGTACCTGATGCCAGCTGTTGCTGGGGAGAGCGTGTAGACAGTGCCCAGAGCATAAAAATGTCAGAAAATGAAAAACAACCTGTAAAGCGGCTGGCTTACTCTGCAAAATTTAAAATGGATGTAATCACTTATGCAAAAGAGCATGGAAATAGAGCTGCAGAGAGACAACTTGGACCTCCTCCCACTGAGTGTATGATAAGACAGTGGAGAAAACAGGAAGAGCAACTCCTTAAGATGCCCGAAAAGAAGAAGGAATTGAGAGGAAAACCAGCAAAATGGCCAAACTTGGAGCAGAGGCTTAAGATTTGGATTTCTTGCCAGAAACCAGTGATGCAACAGAGGCTGAATAAAGTGATTGGCTCAGAGGTAAGTGTGATGCATAATATCATTTAAGATATTAATTGCTGAATTTTGTGTAAGAAAAGTTGGGGGCGTCTTATACATGGGGGCGTCTTATAGACGGAAAAATACGGTAGGTAGCAATTTAAGTGCCACACTGTTATATTCACATGCTTTTTTCTTCAAGCCTTGATGAATGGGGTGGTGCACAGCCCCAACATTGTTGGTTATGTGCTTAGATGAAGCACTGAGATCTTGTGGAATGCTGAATTAAGTTTTGGTTGCTTAGCAGGACATTACATGTATGTGTACATGACTACAGCATCCACAGGAAAAGTACAAATAGAACTTCCTGTGGAATCATAGATAAGTAAGCACAGAGACTACCATTGCAGTATACTGCCTTTTAGAGCTCAAAAGATAATATTACATCACTGAATGTCAGTAATACAAATCAGTACATATCAGCATACGCTGGTGTATTTCCAACACCCCTTCTCAACAGCATGAGCATTGCTATATGACATTAGGCTTCTCTCGAAGGAAACTGTGATGATCCTTTGGCAATGGCTTGGTGAGTGCATCCTCAGTCCTTTCTTCTGATGAGCAATATTGCATATCGATAAGGGATTGTTCTTGAGCGCTTAGGTTTTAGTTTCCTAGTGATTTTATTTCTTCTTCTGCTGCCTGTCTCCATTGATTGGCTTTGCGTTTTGGTAATTTTTCTATGTCGTCCTACAATGTTGGTTCAAGTATGCTATGTGTCTTAGCAGTATGTGACAACTTGCAGAGTGATTTTCCCTTTGTTGCTCAAGTGGATCTTATAATTTCAGGTTGTTCAGCAGAATTTAACATGGAACTTGACTTATACATTGTGAGTTCCACTTCTTGTTCTGACCTCTGGGCAGCTTCACTTTGCTCAGCTTCCTTTGCTGGTTCACTGGGCAAATTCACTTCACAACTCGCCGGGATCATTGTTTCTGGTGATGGGTTCTCATCTAAAATAAACGCTGCGACTTATTGTCACTTTGTCAGTCTTTGGGTGGAGGATTTTATATCCCTTACTTTGTTAACTGTAACCCATCAGAATACCTTCAATGGCTGTGTTCTACAATTTGGATTGCTTTTCCTTTGGAATATAGGCGTAAAAGCTTTATATCTGAACACTCTAATGTTCCCTAGGCTAGGCTTCGATCCATGCCACATTGCAAATGTCATGACTGCTTCTCCCCAGTACTTCCTAGGTAGGTTGGCGTCTGACAGCATGCATTTAGCCATTTCTATGAGTGTGATTTATTTATTTTATTTTATTTTTTTCCGTTCTGCTACACCATTTTGTTCAGGAGTGTATGGTGTGGTGGTCTGGTGTACTATACCTTGTTTATTTAGATATGATTACTAGGGATGCACCGATATATCGGCCGCCGAAACTTATGCAGAACATGGCACTTTTGGCTAAATGCCGAAAGTGCCATCTTCCTGCCGATACATTGGCGTATCCCTGCTTTCTTTCCTCCCCGCTGGGCACTGCTATGTGTCCCAGAATCCTTGACTGTTACCTTCTGCAGTAATACCTTTCCCGTTTGTTAGGAAAACCTTTGTCCTTTGCACTGAAATCAAGTTCTGTGAAGGAGGTCTCATCACTGGTCATGTGACTTGATGTGCCTGAGTCAATAGACCATACACGTGGCATATTGTTCTGAGTCACTTTAAAGGTAGTGCTCCATGATGTGCCTGCAGTTTTCTTTGTAGCTGCCTTAGCTCTTTCTCTTGTGGGTGCCTCTTGCTTTCTCTGCTCAGTTTTCCAGATGGAACACTCCTTTTTCAGGTGACCAGTCTTTCTACAGCAAAAACATGCTTCACTTTCTTGCACCTTAAGGGCTTTCTCATTTTCTTCATTGTGCATATTTTTTTTTACTTCTGTCATATTCATCGATTTATTTTCCTTTGGTGTATTCTAGTGTTAGTTCCTGCTCAGGTCTGGTTTCTAAAGCGTTCATAAGAGCACTGTATGACTCTGTAAGGCTGCATAGCAGTAATGCCATCATATGGTTATCTTTTAATTTCCTCTCCAATTGCACGTAGCTGTTCTATGATTTCCAGCATGGCATTCACATATTCATATATAATTGCTTTTGCTTGTCTGTTATTCTTGTCCCATTCCTGCGCTGGTCCATCAGTGGGCCTGTGTGTACTCAGTACTTGCCACAAGTCATCTTTGCTTAGCAGCATTTCAAGCTTTAACTGCCATAGCTGGTAGTTGGTATTGTAGAGCGTTGTGATGACAAACTTCATATCTGAACTACTTGCCACTTTTCAGTAGCTTGGATGTGGCTCCTGTTGACTTGCAGTGTTCTGTTTAGTGTCTGGGCCCATAACCTGTTGGTTATGTGTTTTTAGATGAAACACTGAGATCTTGAGGAGTGCTGAATTTGAGTTTTACTTGCTTAGCAGGACGTTACATGTATGTATACAGGAATACAGCATCAAAAAGAAACATACAGACACATAGAACTTCCTCTGAAATCATAGATAAGTAAGCACAGAGACTAACATTGCAGTCTACTGCCATCTAGAGCTCAAAAGATAATATTACATCTCTGAATCTCAGTAATCCAAATCCGTACATATCAGCATATGCTGGTGTGTTTCCAACAAAAATGAGTTGGCTTTTAATTACAATTTGTGTTTGGAATAAACCTATTTTTGGACTTGAGCATTACACTGTGTAACTGCAATTCTAGATGTATCCATCTTTTGTATGGTGGTGGCATTCTTGGTAGAGGAACAGGCCAGCCCCACCTCCCTGATGACTGTTGGGGGGGAATGACCAGGAAGCAGCTGAAGAGTTGGACCACTGCAGGTCCTCGGGTAAAAATTCCTCTTCGTCAGGCCCTCAGAAGAATGATGAGCAGAATAGGGACATCACCAACTTTCACCACAGTGCTCAGGAGTAGAGATGAGCCTGGGTGCAAACGCAGTTAGCCTGAGTTCGCCCAAGCCTGCTCAAAACTGTGACTGCCACCCCCTCTTCCTGGCCCAATCTGTTGCAGAGAGGGATATTTCCTGCAATTAAACATCACAGAGGGGTGGAAAATGCCCCCACAACTGCCACCACTGATGGTGCCGGGAGGAGCGGGTGACAATCACAGTTTGGGTGGGCTTGGATGAACTCAGGCAAACTGGGTTTGCACCCAGCCCAGGCTCATCTCTACTCAGGAAGACCCAGTAAATCTGGTGTGAACAGCAGTCATCACACTGGGTGGGAATATGCCCTATATTCTAGTACTCCAGCTTTGGTGAAACAATAAATCCCATCAAACATCTGTCTCTGGGAGTCATGCCTGTAGCTGTTAGTCTTGCAATGCCTAATGGGAATTGCTGTTGCACCACAGCTGCAGGGACGGAGTTTGCCTACCCTTGACCTAAATGATCTTACGCTGTGAATATGAAGATATGAGGCTAAAGAAGCAGGAGTATCTAGGCAGGAAGGAAGTATGTTGCGTAAAGGTCCACTTTAATGATTGTAGACAACAATGATTGCCTTCAACAATAAGTAAACATGCAATGAAATTCCGTAATACATATCTAATCATGACTTTTTAATAACTAATATGTCTTTATTCTTCTGTAGAACCACAAAGTATCGATTCAGAACAAATGAACTATGCAGAACTTATAATGGCCCCACGAAATGTACCTACTCAGGTCAGTTTCCCCAAGACGGTTTGTAATGTACTACCGGTCCTTCTATTCAAATCTAAATGCTGAGTTACTGATCTAGAACTATCAGGGAAGCAAATGCAGAGTGGAATTAAAGCTCCCAATCTGCATGATTTTTCTGGGACTCTGACTAAGAGATTATGTAAATGTGTGGATCATCATGGCTACCAAGAAACTAGTATTTTAAACAAATTATTATGATTATTATACAGGATTTATATAGCGCCAACAGTTTGCACAGCGCTCTACAATATAAGGAAGACATTACAGTCACAATAAAATTCAAGACAAGATGGTAAGGAGGGCCCTGCCCCTGAGGGCTTACAATCTAAAAGGGAGGGGCAAGTGATACATGAGGAGGTAGCTGCGTGGATACAAATGATTAGTAATGGCAACTAGACATGTGCACTGGCAAAAAAATTGTTTCGTTTAGTTTTGATTCGGATTTTGTGTTATTTCGTTTTTCAGGATTCGGGTGTGAAAGTCAATTCGGATTCGGAATTCGGATTCAGACGAAATTCGTTAGCGGTAGTTCGTTCGAACGTTCGTTTCGTTTTTCGTTTCTTATTCGTTTCGTTCGTTCGTTTGCAACAAAGTGACATTTGAGGGGGAAAAATGTTTTTCTCCTTCTCTAAAGGCACTTTGCTGCAACGAACGAACGAAACGAATAAGAAACTAAAACGAAATGAACGTTCGAACGAACTACCGCTAACGAATTTCAAAAACGGAAATTCAGATTCATTTGCATTTGTTTGCATATCTGTAATTCGGATACATCCGAATGTTCTTGATCTTGTTTTCTCTCACCTATGCACTCCTCGCAACCTCTCTAACACCCCCTTCCCCCTCTTAGACCACAACCTGGTCAGTTTCACAATCACCCTGTCCCCAACGCGGACTCCCCCTACACGTCACACTGTCACCCGGAGAAACCTCCACCACCTTGACCCTTCTCTTCTCC